TAATCATTTATTTACTCAATACTGATTACATACCTATCATCTGTGAGTGCCATGTGCTCAGTCATGTCCAACTCTTTGCGACACCATAGATTGTAGCCCTCCAGGCTCCTGTCCATGAGATTCTCCAAGCAAGAATACTGGAATGGGTTGCATTTCCTTCTCTAGGGGATTTTCCTGACCCAGGGATCAAATCCACATCTCCTATGTCTCCTGCATTGCAGGTGGATTCTTTACCTGCTGAGCCATCAGGCATTTTCTGTGAAGTACCAGGAAATGTCCCTGGCCTCTCAGAGCTTACAGTCTAGTGAAATGCATTGATACCCTCTTTTTTATTTATCCTTCCTAGTTTGAATGTCTTCTTTATAAATGAGAATTTTTAAAAATGTTGTATATATCAGCCCCTTTGGGTTTTTTAAGTGGTATAGAAATCTCAAATACATATATTCTTGAAGCTATCAATCATCCATTTACAACTTTTTAAATTTCTTCCAAAAGGAATAAGTTATCCTCCTTCTAGATATTTCATAAATGACTTAATCTTTGTCAATTTCTATTATAATTTGGTTCAATGTTTACATTTTTACTCCATATGGATTGACTTTGAAACACAATAAAGGAGGGATTCACCTTAAACTATTGAAATGTTACCCTGTTTCTATAATACCCTATTTAAACAACCCTTCCTGAACCTCTTTAAACATACAGAGTTTTATATACATATAATTGTCTATATTGGTACTCTCTAGTCTATTGCATTAATTGACATTCCTATTATTATTGCAGTAAATACTATTTGGGGAATTGCAGTTTTATCGACTAACCTTGATAGTACACATAAAAAAAGAACATAAATAAATAAGTTAGTATGTAATAAAAAATAATAATCATAAAAACTGAGTAAGTCGAAGTAGATAGATAAGGGCTATGAAATATTTGTATTAAAAAAATCTTGATAAATGTATTGCTAGGTCTCTCTTCAAGTGAGATTTCCTATAATAGAGAAACATAATTTAGTAGACAGAAAAAAGGACAATTATGAGTGTTCAGAAAGACTAGAGACAGCAAAATAATAACAGATGAGTTCATGCTAGTAATAAAAATAGAGCTATACCAATAAATATTAAAAAACTTGCTCCCTGAAGTCAGAAGCTGGATTCGCAGGGACAGGGTCTACTGGACAATGCTTTATCACAATGATATGGAAATTCATGAAAAGCTTAATTAGGCACAGTTTGGGACCCAGAAGAGTTAGGAGGCTGGAAATTCAGTAGGGAGTGTTGAAGCTGCTGTAAGGGATTTTTTTATATGACGGGACTGAACAGGAGAGCATTAAATACTAAGAAGCCAGGAGGGAAGAAGGTGGGAAGGAAAGGAGAGATGGCTACAGGCTAAGGCAGCAACAAACTGCTTCTTAAAAAGTAAGACGAAAGATACTTAACAGACTAGTTTTTGATAGAGAATATACAAAACTTGAACATTATTGAACAGAGCTGACATATTTTAAGACATAAATGAAGTTTAATTTTTAGTTATTTTATGAAAATTAAATTATTAAAAACAACTATAATGAATTGTCCAAGGCTACTGAACTGGTGTCAATGCTACTTGCTTTAATTTGCTTTTTCCAAATATTTAAGGCATTTAAAGCTTCCTGGGCACAGTTGTTTTCCTGCCTGTATCCACTGACCAAACCACCCCAACAAGCTATTTTCAGGTGGTGCTATCACTGAAAACACCACCATTACCTTTCTTCTACATGAGAGCTCAAGTTTACTCTTTGGGCATTTCTAGCTAAATGCCTTGTAATCCTGAACTACAACATAACTTATAAACTGAAACTGCCTATCATGAAGAAGATTCTCTAAAGAAAATATTAGAATAAGAAAGTAATTACGTTGGAGGAGAGGTCTAGAAAGCAGGCAGAGGGATAAAAACAGTCTTATCCTGAAAATTAACTCTATTTAAGTTTGACACCATGAAAATGCCCAAGTTGGCAAACAAAAGACCACACACTACGAGTGATTCGGGCCCCAAATCACAGACAAAGCATGCCAACTCTTCTAGCCCTGTACTGCTCTTAACATCAGTATCCCCATCACCAGGGATCTTGTGAGAACTGCAGAATCTGCATTTTAACAGCATCCCCAGGGGATCCATAGGCACATGAAATTTTTAGAAGCAATGTATATTAAAATTCGATGTTTGCTGCTCTAGTACACATTCCTCCAAATATTTCTGTGCATAGAAACTTTAGCAGAAAATGTATTTTTCAGGGATATAAGCTAAAAAGCTTAGGACATGCATGCTCAGTTATGCCCAACTCTGCAACCCCATGGACTATAGCCTGCCAGGCTCCTCTGTCCATGGCATTTTCCAAGCAAGAATACTGGAGTGGGTCTCCATGCTCTCCTCCAGGGGATCTTCCCAACCCAGGGATTGAACCTGTGTCTCTTTCATCTCCTGCATAAGCAGATTCTTTACCCTTAAGGGTTCTATTAGTTAGCCAGCATTTGGATACTTTCAGTATATGGTAGCATGTTGTTAACTTCCCCCTCAAACGTAACACCGATGTGGTAGGAAAATACAATAGCAGAGGAAACTAAAGATATAAATCAATGATATCAATAATGTTTTTAATCACTGAAAGGAATTAATTCTGTTATGTAGATGGGTCATACTGAGAAATGACGGCCAGTGAGTTCATATAAGTGTCTCTGAAAGACAGCACACAGCCATAAACATCAACCATCATATTAGAGACCCAGTTCCTGAGGGGAATCTTCCTCTCTAAGAGAATTCTTCCCTGAGGATTCTCCGGTACTTCATTCCTAGATTCATTTTGGAGTCTTATAACATTCAGTAATTGAACTTGGCCCATCAGTATTAAACCCTGTGGTGTCAAGGCATGAGTTGAGGGCAGGGTACAGAAAGAGAAAGAAATCCACACTGAAGACTGGATTACCCATGCTACTTCCAACAAAGCAAGAGTTACCATGCTGACTCAACGTTTTCAGTAGCAAATACACTAGCTCAGAGTTAGAAAACCAGGTAATGGGAACAAAGTCATGACTCAATAAAGTAATGCTGAACTGGATAAATGTCTTCTAGACATTAAAAACTTAAGTGCTGGGATGCTTGCATCTGCTTGGCTTTTAGCTTCTTTCTTGAAAGAGACTTGGAACAGTACATTGGTGGATGGTGAAAGAATCCAAATAGAGTATGAGATGTAGGAGCGGGCAAATATCAGACTAGATCTATCCTCTTTGTTCAAAGTTGAGTAAATTAGGAAAATTATATAAAACGCAGCATTTGAAAATCAAAGAATACCACCTTGCTCCAAAAATAGAGAACATTTTTTTCTTAGGAATACTATGAAATCAAATGAAAAACATGAAAGAAACTTTATAAAATTAAGAAAAAAAAAATGACAAAAATAAACTGAGAGGCCAGACTGATGTAAAGAGGTAGACAGCAAGGACACAATACAAACTTAAACCTAATATTGCAATAGCTAACTAAAGCCCATCTTCACACTGCAGAGCAGAAGAAACAGAGATGATGATGATAAGATAGAGACAGCAATTGATTACAAAGTTCCAACCAGCTGGTCACTGATATCATTGAGGAAAAAAAAAAAAATCAAAGTAAGCCTTCTATCTAATGGCTGACTTAGGAGATCAGCAGAGCATTTTTCTCAAAACAACTGCAAACAATAATCTGTGAAATATTTGTGCTTAAAAAAACAGCTGAACTTTAAGTAGGAACAGTGAGAGTCTGCAGCATTCTTGTCTGAAGCAGCTCCAATCACTCCCCAGCTCAGTAAGGTTCTGCCAGGGCAGGGGACAGGTTGTGCTACGGTGGAAGGAAGTTCACGCCATGTGGAGTGATGGCAACACCCATGTCCAGTGGCATTGTTGGGAAGCGATGACCTCAGTGATGACTGAATAAGGAGGGCCAATAACTGCCCAAGGTTGAGGTCTTGACTGGGGCGAGTGTATTTCTGGCTCAAGTTTGGCTAGAGCTGGGGCAGGGGGTTGGGGGTGGGCAAGGAGTGGTGTGGCTGGGAGCAGGGATCAACTTCAAATAAGGACAAAGAGACTTTGGGGGATGATGAAAATGTTCTGAAATCAAAAATCATTGAACAGTTTAACACTTAGCATGTGTAAATTTTATATGAAATTTTAAATGTAAAACTATATACCCAAAGGAAAACTTCCTAGGGTGAAAAAAAAAAGTCTAAATCTACAGCTCTAATGAGCTCACCAAGCCCCTGGCAAAAATTAATTTAATGTTGCTCAGTTTTTAATTTGTCTTGACAACAGTTTCATTTTTGTGATTAAAAGCTATATAAAAAGAATGATCTTATCTATGCAGGAAAAGAAAGCTAAACAAAAAGATGACTTGCAAAGGAAGAACATTTACACTGAACTTGAGCTTCTGTGCAAAAGTAAATGTCATAATAATAAAAGAAATTTTTACAGAATTTTAATAGGACAAATTGAGCTCTTGGAATTATATGCCAGGCTAAGATGTAGCTCTTGTCAAGGAAATAGAAATATAATCAAGTGTGCTCATTTGATGTACAAAAGAGTTAAGTGTATAGTTACAGTTGATTCCTCTGAATAGGAATGGAATTTAATTTGTCAAAAATATTTTTCCACAATATTTCTTAGAAACACACCTGCTTCAAATCTGAGGACTCAAGTTCAATTGTCTTCAGTGACAGGCAAGTAACACAAATACAGGACAAAGGCCAGGTGTATTTCCATGGAATGCCAGAGTCACTATTTTGGGGGTTCAGTGCTGCTCTTAATACATAGTTTCTGCATCAGGGAAACTTTAGGGAGTAATGAGGACTGTAGTAAACTGGAGAAGGTTCCAGAAGATTAACAGTTTTCAAGAATGAGAAACCAAAACCTTATTGCTGGGTCTTTAAATTTTTCAAAATAAATCAAATTACCTAGATTTTATATTAAAAAATCTTCAATTCACTCATCTGAAAATAGTTTGTCCAGTATCAGTGGCTTTCATGCTGTTTTATGCTGTAGAAGCCTTTCTTCAAATTAAATTCTCCATAAAATACAAAATATAAGAACCAGAACTAGATTATCTTTCAGATACCTGTGATTCTATTGAATCCTAAATAAGGGTTGGCTGAATAATGAATCGTCTATTATCTAGCTAGTCAGCATATTTACCTTATGCCAGTTTAATTCATTAGGTTAGCTCAATTTAACACATATTAAGTGATTATTATGGACCAGACACTGTGCTTTTATGGATGCATGATCCCACCACTGACAGTCATACATACCTATTTCAGGGCAGGGAAAGTAGAATAACACATAGAGGTTGTAGAAAACTCTGCTTCTAGAGGAAGAGGAGGGAGACGTCAGCCAAGGGCACATTTCCACCTTGCCTTAAAGGATTGGTTAAGTTTTTCCAAGTTAAAGTAGGACAGTGGGTGTCTGGAAAAGCCTGAAGAAACACACAGAGGTGTTAAAGTACATAGTATCTCCAGGGAAAACGAGACAGCTCGTACACAAAAGGAAACAGCACCCAGAAATTAAGCATTAACCTGTTTACTAGTGAGTAATTGAGTTACAGTAAGCAGTCATCTTCTTACCAGATTTGCCTGGAGGAGGAAAAAAAACAGGCCACAGAGTGGTGAGGATGTAAACCCTAACTTACATGAATAAAAGAGTTTATATAATGAAATACTTTAAGATAAAATCATAAGGATAATTTTATTTTTAATTATTTTCTTTTTGTGTTCACAGATTTTAATCTTAGAAATTAAGACTAGAAATGTTGATGAGAATCAAGAACATGAGAGGCTGTGTTAAAATCTATACATGTACAAAAATGAAGAGGCCATGCTCCCTATTTGCTAGGACTTGGTGTTTAACGGGAAAAGGGATTTTGTGGAGAAGCCATTCTTCTCCAGTGCAGGAGAGGTCAGACGCCTTAAATTCTCTCTCCAGAATTCTGAAATGCTCTCTGCAGAGAACAAGAGAAGGACTCCAAAAGATCAGAGCCTTTTGCCATGACAACATGGTATCTCAGAGGGCAGAGGCAAACTCCAAGTTTCCCAAGCAAACGATATATTCCTAGCATCTACCACCAATTCTGGAATAGGGAATACTTGAGGTGTACCCTGCCATGAGTTTCCATTCTCATTTTACCTCTTGAGCTGAGAGGGAGCTGGAAGGTGGGGCCTGTGCTAGGGTTATAGGATGAGATGAGCAAGGCTTCATCTCCTTGCAACATCCTACATGAATCATAGGCTCTGACACTTCTCTCAGCTCTTGACTCTGCTGAGACTTAAGAATCCTGAAGGTCTTTGTTTCAGATCAACTCTCTGCCCCTGGCTCTTTGTTGCAAAACTTGGTCAGCACTGTGAATTCATGGTTTTCCAGGGCAGACAGCTTGTGGAGGACCAAGGAAAGGACCTGCTCCACACCTCAGCCAGAATGTGTGCACATTAACCTCAGCTTCCCACCTGTCACTGCTGTGACCCTTCTGAGTCACATTCCTTCTCCTGGGCATCCTCCTACATGGTTCTCAGCCCAACTCCCACCAGGAAGGGCGGATCTGCCTGTCACAAGACCTCCTATGACCTTCGGGGATGCTTTAGGAAAACTCTGGACAATGTGGCTCGGCCAGCCTGGGCCTTTGCCTCCTCGCCCTGGGGGCCACAGCAAGGGCCGGGCTGCTACCCTTCGGCACAGAGTCACCACTCAGAGGAGGGACACATTCACGCTTCTCCCCATCCCGCCTCTTCTGCATCCAGCTGGCAGTGGGCACACAGTGCCAAGTGCTGGGTCCTGTCAGAGGGGAAGCCTCCTGCCCCCGCTTCTGGTTGATGGCATGGGCAGCCATCCTGGATTTCCTTCGGAATCAGTGAGGCAGGGCATCCCCCAGCCCCGTACCGCTGATGGAGGCCACGGCCCTTGCTGCCCTTACTCCCCCCTCTGGCGGGGCAGAAGGTGGGAATGCAGAGGTGCCGCCTTCTGGGAGAAACGAAGTGTCCAGAACAGAGTCCCCTCCCATCCGCTCAGGGCAGCCTCTGTCTTTCTGCTTCCTACTTCTCTCCTCCAGCCCCCAAAACTCCCTGGTCCCTGGCTGAAAATAGGATGCCACACCTGCTATCACATGACAACTAACTTCAACTGTTTTTTTCTGCTCATCAGGAATTCACCAATTTCTTAGGCCCTAACAACAACAACAAAAAACCTGCCATGGTAACTTCCAGAATTCCTCTTCATCTCTGGCTTTGGCTCTGGGTATCAACCCCTTCCCCAGTCATGATCTTTCCCAGTTCCTCATTCACCCCTTTAGGTAATTGCGTTGCTCCCTTAATTATCGAGAAACCATTCTTTGCATGAGACACAGAGTCCCTCCTCACTACTGCTACCTTCTCTCTACTTAGCACCAGTGAAGCATCTGTGTTTTAGCCAAGGCCAACCCCTCCACCGGGGACTTACTGCTATTATGTTACACTTCTGCACCATGACATTGCCGCTCTTGCAGTTCTCCCTTTCTCTCCTGCATCATGATTTCCCTCCCACCTCACTGACTACTTCTCAGTCTCTGCTTATTGGTGCCTACTTTTTCCTCCAAATTCTTAACATTGGGCTGTACCAGAGCCTGGTCCTTAGATCTTTCCTTCATTAACAATCATTGCCTGGATGATCTTATCCAGCCTCATGGTTTTACACGCCTTTCTTTCTCCTCCCCTCCTCCCTCTCCCCCTCCTCCTTCATCTTCTTCTTTATCATCATCATCATCTAACTTTAATCTATCTTTCTATCCAGTCATCTATAGTCAGGACCTTTCCTGAGGAGTATTCAGCTTCTGTGTTGAGAACACTGTTAGAAGTATGGTCTCAGGCAGAAGTTGGGGTGAGTTATGATACTACTGCAGTAATCATAGCATCAGAGTGAGTGAGAAGTGGTAGTGTTATGAATTCATCTCAGAAGGTAGAGACAACAGAGTGGACTGGATATGGACAGTTAGGGGAAAATGTCAAGGAAGACATCAATGTTTTTGTCCTGAACAACTGCAAAGATGCTGTTGCCATCAACTGATGTTATGAATACTGTGATTGGAGCATGTTTCATATGTGTAATGAGATAATGGATGGGCACAGGAAATCAAGAATTTACCGTTCTATAGTTTTGAGATGAATCTTGGACATTCAAGTATATGTGTCAATTAGACAATCTGGGCGTGTAGACTGTCTATCCCATGAAATCACGAGTTTCACTGTATAAATTCTATGCCTTTGCCATGTTAGTTATAGCTATTTGCATATAGTAAATAAACATTTTAATTGAATGTAAAATAGTTCTCAAAGTTATTTTTTAAGCTTATTTTATCTTCCTTCCATTTTTGAGATATAACTGACATACAGCACTGCGTGAGTTTAAGGTGTACAGCATAATCAAGGCAATTTTATTGTGACCCTTCTTGGGTCCTTCTGAGCTGAGTACCCCAGTAATCCCATGGCAGGACTCCCTATTCCACAGCACTCAACATACTAATGTAATGATTTGTCTGCCTCCACAGCCCAGACTTTGTATTCAAGTACCATTAAGGTATTATGCCAGCCACTATCCTAGGCCCTGGACATATGAGACACTATTATATTATTTAGGCAAGAATGAATGAGTAATTTAACAGAGACAGTAAACACAGAAAAAAGGGGGCAAAGTTGAGATATATCAAGATTAGAAAACAGTCACTGACTTCATGTTTGAGATGAGCAAAAACATGGGTTTATAGTTATACCAATCCCTAACACTGGACAACAATTTTGTAGGGTGGAGGGTGAGCGTGCAGAAATTTTAATTTGCATTGCCTTTGGACAACAAGGTTCAACTCACTGCTCTTCATCACACTATGAACAACCAAAACTCAGTTTATTCATCCCCATCCCCTAAAAGCACGTGGGCACTGGGTTGGCTTCCTGGTTCAAGCAAACCAGTCTTTTCCCTTATTATGCCCTCTTCAGGACCATGTCAGCTTCTATCCCAAGTACTCAGACCTCCACCTACATGCTCTCCCTTCCCGCTTCTCTCCTGCCTACCCTTGGGAGTTTCCATGTCCTCCTGTGAGCTTCACTCCCCGTGTCACTTATTCCATGCAGCTGATAGAGGAGGTGGGATACAAGAGAATTACAGCCGCCTTCCAGGTGAGCTCTCCAGAACGCTCTAACATAATCAACAGGAGCAGAAGGGGAGAGTCTATCATTTGTTTTTGGTATTTGTCATATTAGCTATATGCTATTGATAATACAAAGCACCTCCTCAAGATTGGAACACTGGCACTCTCCTAAATATCTCCCCTCCAGATTGTGAGCATATATATAGAAGTCATCAGTGAATTCTGCCTGGGGCAAAAAATTCCTGGCCGCTCGTTCTTGACAATACTACCCTCACATCCACATTGCTTCTCTGGGCCCAAGGACACCATGATATTAATCAAATTCAAGTCTGACCTTTAACTTCAATGTACCTTAGACAAGGGCCTTCCTTCTCTGCTCAAGTCCCTTTTATCCACAGTCCAGAGGGTGTGGGGGGGGCGGGGGAGTGTGGAATGCTGACCCAGCTTAAGGGCGGGTTAAAGCTTCTTCCCTAGATAGGAAGGACATTTACCTCCATTATGCCTTCCCTGAGCACACCAGGGTGGAGAAAAGCAGCAGACACACAACTCTCTGTTTAGAGATATACAGAGTGTATTGGGGCGGTACTCTGCCCACCTGCACATTAATAAAAATGACAGGAGCATTCCTCCTCAAAGGATGCAGGCACTGGGGAGACTACAAAGTCTTCTGACTGTGTTGGGTCTTCCTGTGCAGACCAGTTTCCTTCCAAGGCGAGAGCTGAGGCTTAGGGTGGGCTCTTTGGTGGGGTGGCACAAGCCCCTCGCGGACAGTGCCGCGGGCAGTGGCGGGGGGCGCCCAGGACTGAGCCCAAGTGCAGTTGATGGGGGTGGGAGTGGTGCCGGAGCTTACTGTCTGGGGAGTGGGCAACATCCATGCAAGCTAGGCCCATCTGCTTCTCAGGGGGTGGAAACTGGGCCTTGGGGCCCCCTCTTGAATTCCCTGTCTTAGTTCGCCCCTTGGGACTTTTGGCTGGAGCTGAGATTTTTTCCACATTTTCTCTTCTGGGGCAGGCCACTTTCTCAGAGGTAGAGGACATAGATGCCTCATGCCCTTTGCCTTTTGCCTTGGGTGTAATACAATGCAGAAGAGATTTCATCTTATTTCTCAGGCCAGATTCTGGAAGGCTGGGCCTCTTGTGAGGATGACCTTGCACCACCTGCCTCTGGAAGACCTGACCTTGTAAAGCTCGGCCCTGCAATGGTTTACCCCCTGTGAGCTGGCCCAGGAAAGGCTGGCCCCGTGACACTTGGGGCACCACAGGCTGGGCATTCTCAGGAACCCTTGCTGGTTTGAGGGTGACACTGAGCTTGGCTTGACTGTCCTGCAGGTCCTTCTTCTCAGAATCCTTCCCCCCAGGGACTCCAGGAGGGAGCTCTGGGAGTTTAGGCGGAGGGCAATGCCGAGGACTGTGTTGACAGGAAGCATCAGGGTGAAAGCGACGTCTCTGTTGCCAGGGGCTGCGGGGTGTCCTGTTCAGAAGTATCCCTTCTGGCCTCTGGCCTTCAACAGAGTGGCTTTTTTCTCTCGTGGAGGAGAGTGTGAACCCGGCATCCCCTTCTCCATGGTCCCCAGCCAATCTGGGTTTGCCTGACTCCTCTCTCTTTTCTGCCAATGTGGGGACTTGGGCTGAGTCCTTGCTCTTGTCAGGGCTATGGGGCTCAGGGCTCCAAGGCTCCTCCAGACTGGGGTTGTTCACACTGGCCTCCAGCTGAACACAAAGCACCTGGGCCTCTGTCATGTCCCCACTGAGTAAGGCGCTGGAAGCCCAGGGGCCAGAACTATGGGGTACTATGCTGGAACTGGGCTGCTTCTGTTTCTGGTGCACCGCCTTTAACTCAGTGGCCAGCTGTTCTTTGAGGTGGAGCCACTCTGGGTCTGGGGCACACGGCACATCTGGTGGGATGGGGAGTTCCTGGAGCAGTGGTTGTCCTTGGTTGTTTAAACTCTCAAGAGACTCCTGTGTACATACATCCTCTGATGTTCCTACACTTTGTTCCCTAGACTCTCTCGCCTTTATGGGAATTCCAATTTGTGCTTCTAGGATCTTCTTTCTCAGATGGAAATTCATTTTGGCCAAGATGTGTTCCCCGAGTAAAGAGGGCCTCTCAGACTCTGTCTGGCTTTCTATAGGCAGCATCTCAATTACTCCTTCCACCTGCTCATCAACCTGGAATTCTTCTGCAGTGTTTGAAAGAGTCTCATTGGCCTCTTGAAGGCCTGGCCCAGGACTTGGACCCTGCTCTTCAGGCGAGGTCACCTGAGTCAGAGGTTCTGTTGAGAATTCAGCAGGCTCAGGCACCATCTCTGTGATCACAGCTGGGGACGTGATTGACGTGGTTGCTGGGGCCATGGCCCTGGAGAGAGCCACACAATAAAGAGCCGGCAGCCCTGACAGGAAGGCCAGATACTTGTGCCGCAAAGCTGTCTCCAGTTTCTCAAGGGCTGCCTCTGACAGGACTCCGGGCAGCTTAGGATGTTCAAAGACAGCTTTTGGTGAGACCTGCTGCTGCTGATCAAGGGCCACTGGCATCCTGGGTGTCACTTCCTGTTGAGGCTCCTCGTCAGCTGCTGCCTGGAGTTCCAGGGGCTTGCTTTCCAGGATGCAGTGGAAGGGAGTCACTTCTAGGACCCCAGGAATTATGCACTCCCAAGAACTATACACACAGGCAGGGATGTTGCCCTGGTGAATTTGCCCACATTTGGAGTTGATATGGCCCCGCAATATTGCCTTGGCCTGGTCAAACAAGTGTGGCATGGGGACAGACAATGGGTCCACAATAGGTGAGAATGGGTCATCAGCTCCAGTGGCCTCCAGACATGTAGGCTGGGGGCCATTCACACCGCCCAGGGCTGTGCTGCTCCAGGACACCGTCTGCTGGTTAGTGGGGGACAGGAGCAACTGGATGGACTGCTGGATCTTCTGGGGCAGGCCCCAGCGGTGGTGAATCAGCTGTCTCTGGAGGTGGTATTCCAGCAGCCGCCTGGTGTGCTGCGGGAAGAGTAGTTCCCTTGTGAGGCCTGGGACAGGCTGCCCCGGCCAGGAAGTTTTCAGAGTCTCAGAAGACTGGGCTTTGTCACCGGGCTGACACTGCACGGGGCTCTGGACATGTTGATCTCTCTGGAAAACATCTGGCAAGTCCCACTGAAGCTGGAGCTGCCTCTGCAGCAGGTGCCACTCCAGGGCTTCACACTCGTCCAGAGTCAGAAATGGGACACTGATGTGAGCTTGCTGGTGATCAGATGGAGCAACACAATTTTGAGAAGACAGAGGAGAGAGTGGAGTTGACTGGGTTGGAGTTTTAGGCAGCAAAGGGAGGAAGGAGAGTTCCTTGAGGAGAAAGGGATCCTTCAAGTGGGGCTTGGACATGCTCTCATCCTTGCAGAGGCCTTGAGAAGCCAAGAAGGTGTCAACCAGCGACTCACTGTGCAGAGAAGGCAGGCCACAGAATAGCTGGCTGTATTTTGGCTGCATGGGGCCCACTGAGTCACTAGCCTGTTGCTCAGACATTAGATAGAGGCCACTTAATTCTTTAAGGGCTGAAGAGGGCCAGGCTAAAGCCTTATGGTTGGGGATTTGCTGGTAGAGGTGTCTTTGTTCTGGATCCGTAATGCACCATTCAGAAACCCAGAAGGCCTGAGTAGGCTGGCCAGCCATACCTGAGCCCCAGTTCTGGTATGAAATGGCCCCAAGTTTCTCAACAGAGAAATGTGAAATATTATTGTGGATGAAAGAAACTGGTTGGTTACATACAGTTTGGTAAAATAGTGGCGGGTTTGGCATCAGCTTCCTCAGGGACTCTTCTACACGCCTGGGGAGCCCCCACCTCTGGAAATGCATCCATTTCTTCACATGGACCTCAAGAAGTCTCAGGACTTCAGGACTCAGGAACGGCAGGTGGGCAGGGAGGACAGTGACCATCGGCAAGGCCACTGGATGTGTCAGGGCAGTAATTTCTTGTTTCAGGGTCAGCAGAGAGACCTGAGGATTTAAGGGCTGCTGGACTTGGTTCCCACAGATGAGGCTGAGGTTACTCTGCATCGTCTCCTGCAGATTCACTGAAATTCTAGGCTCCTCAGTCCCTGAGGGGACCTCTAGCACTTGGAATCCCTGCCTTAGCTTGAGATGTTCAGCCCAGTAATCATGGATGCCGGCTGCACCAGGTGACTGGGCCGCTGACTGGGCTAAGGATTTCTGTGACACTGTGAGGGTTGCAGATGGAAGTGAAAGGTCTTTGGAGTGTGGGGAACGATGCTCCAGACTCTGCTCAAAAGACACATTAGACATGGACAAAACCTCTAGGCAAGAGGAGCCCTGAGAGGTATCCCCTGAAGTGGGGGAGATTAGGGTGTTCTCACCCAACAACTGCTGAATCTCCAGAGCCATGGTGTTGCAGGTTTGGCAGCAGGGATCTGTACAAAGGATCTGCCGCACACTCCCCTCCTGAGGTAGCCAGCCCTGGCTGGGAAGGGAAACACAGCAAATGTTTGTTACTGATGGGCAGTTTGTTACTGTTTGTTACTCTTGGCCAGTGTGTGGGCTGGAGATTGGACCTGCCCTCCTCGTCCCCATAAACTCTTGAGGCCTGCAACCACTGGGTGTTTAAGTGTCTACTTTTCTTCCTAGGGAAATGCCATTTGGCAAGCTGTAGTGGGCTGGGCTGAGAGCCTGAAGCTTGTTGGGCAAGGTCTCAGGCAACTGATGGAAATACAGGGCCTTGAGAAACTGGGAGGTGGGTGAGCTCTCTGCTGACTTGTGCTGAGAAGCTGAACTAGGAGAAGAGAACCAGGCAGGTGGGAGAACCAATGGTTAGCTGATGGGGCAGCACCAACAACATCACCAGGTAGAACCTGGAGTCAGCCTCACTTGGGGCCACGGAAGTCCTTGTGGGAACTCTGCATTCTGGGGATTAGGAGGTGCAAACAACATCACTTGGGAGCCAATTCCTCATTCTGCAGAGCTCTAAAGAAGGGGATAATATGACAAGCTCCTGCCTGAGGGTTGTCCAGGAACTGGCCTCCCTGAAGACAGAACCAGAGGAGGTAATGTCAGCAGGGTCCAGGGGTCTGCCCTTGAAAGGGTGTGGCTGTAAAGAGAATATGAAAATGATGACTCATTTATGCACTTAACTATCCATTCTCCTGACTGGGTAACTTGTCTCACAGTTGGGAGAAAACCCACATAGTTAAATCCTGACTTCCAGCACTTTTGTGAGCCTAGCCCAGAGCACAGCTGAAGACCCCTCTCCACTGAGACATCAGACCCCACCTTCTCCTCCCACAACCCTCACCCAGGGCTCCAGGCTACCTGTGTCTGGCTCCCGCTCGGCCATTCCCCTTCTCCCAACCCTGCCCCAGGCCAAACACAGAAATCACTACAGGCCACTTTGGAGGTGGGAGACTGCAAAGAGCAAGAGGTTACCTTCTCATGACTGAGAGCAGCTCCCACAGCTTGTCAGCTTCTTTCTGGGAATGTCTCCTAGCTGAGAAACCAGGAGACAGTGTTACACAGAACAGGAGGGGTTTCAGGGACATCCAACAGCAAGTTGAAGGCGTTGAATGACAGGAGACTGTAGACCCCTCGCCCACCCCCCATAAAAGTCTTCTGGGAGAATCTGTCAACTTGGGGACTGGAGCCTTCAGCAGTTAGAGCACCTGGTGCCTGGTACTAAGGGTCACTGGGGGACATGGTCCATGGGAGCCTCACCCCAGGGGAGGGAAGTCAGAGCAGAGACTGAGACTTTACCTCTTGATGCTGCATCTCTAGCCCTTTGCCTGACTTTTCGGTGACGCTTAAAAGACAAAAGAGTTGGAGAATGAAGTTGGGACACCATTTTCTTTTTCATGTCCAAACCAAGACAAAGCTAATATAGATTACCTAATCCTTTTTAATTTACCTATATCTTATTTACTTTCCTAACTTTCCATACTCCTATTGTTTTTCATCTCAATATTTGCCTTCTCTTATTTCTGATTCGAGGCTCTTCCATCCTCCATGCCTCCCATTTATTTCCTAAGAGAAGTTCTGTATCAAGCTTATAATGTAACAAGAGAAAGGGTGGAAGAGAATAAAGTTGTGTAGATCTAATAACAAAAGGACTTCAATTTACAAGTGCCTTAACAGACCACAAACCAGAAAAACCTCCCATAAAGGGAAGTCTTCGAAGATCCAGTGAGGCACAATCCATTTCATCTAAGTCTCAACCCAAGCCAGATAGAGATGTTCTTGATTTTTCAATTAGAATACTCTGCAGGGATAGTCTGGTAAGAAATTATTTCTAGGCACTGAGAAGAGAAATACCATATAAGAGTAACTAATGGATGGTTAAAAAAAAAAAAAATACATATGGGTGGGGAGGTAGACAGGTGGAGAGGAAGGATAAAAGGAGAGATACTGGGAGCTTAAAAGCATCTTATCTAAGGCTTAATTAGTTCAGTCCTGGTCATGGTGTTTCCCTACCCGGCAGCAGCTCCTTTTATGTTCCGTTAATCCATGGTAACTCTTTTTCACTTGCCAGATGATTAGAATAATAATGAAGATGGAGCCATAGGTATATAAGGGATACCCCAAATCCCACAGAACAAAAGTCTGGCTCAGCATGGTCTAAACCTCATAATCACGAGGAGACCAACCATCCCTATGAATGTAGGCATTCAGAGTCCTGGCACCTACTGACTTCCAAGGCTACACATCCGTCTCCGCCTCACAGACGGCGGAACCAAGCTACCAGACTGCATCACAAAGCCCTTCTGCGTCACAGGGTAGGTGTGGCGTCAAAGAGCCCATGTGGCAATTCCGTCTGCAGATGAGGCGGTCTGGTTGTAAGGAATGAAGGTGCCACGCACGGGCAGTGTCTGAGCTCCCATTCTGTCTTCAGTCTCCATACCCTCCGCCAGCCTGATGGCCAGTCTGGTTATGGCTTGGAAATGGAGAGCTTTGACGTTACAGGCAGTGGGTGATGGGAAATCAGAGGTGCCTGAAGGGACCATGGCTGAAGCAGCAGGGACAGGTCAAAGTGGTAACATCTTTAAAACGACATTGTGGGAATCAGAAAGGAATGCCTCCCACACTGTGTGGCCTCAAGCTTGCAGATGAGTGAGAAGAGACTGTAAACACTGCCTTCCATTGAGACACACTAATGAGATTTCCGTGGGCATCTCTTTTAAGAGTTAGTTTTCTAGAGCTATTTTAACCATGTTACAGAATTATGTCTCCTCACAGAGATGCCTACCTGCATCTCTGTGAGTGTCAGTGACCACTTCTGACTTAAAGTCATAAAGTAGTTGCTAATTGTGGTTAGATCTACTCATCTACTCTGGATATCTGCTGTTTGCCTAAAGGAATTTTTCTGTTTTTTGTTTTTTTTTTTTAACTAGAATTTTTGAAAACTTTAAGCAAGCCAGTTGTTTTCTAATTCATCACCAGGGCCCATTACTCCTATATGCTGACCATTTATTTACACATTTATGTAACCTACCTGACCTCTGTGGATATTGTCATATTTCTCTAAAATTCTAATTTTTTAATTTCTTTGAGGGAAAAAATCTTTCCCTGGTGACAGTGGTCTCACAGCCAAAAATCCTTGAACTCAAAAATCTCTGAAGATACTCCTTGGTCCTTCCTCCAGTATCTAATCTTTCACCCAACTGAAGACTGCTGCTGCTGCTGCTGCTAAATCATTTCAGTCGTGTCCGACTCTGTGCGACCCTATAGACAGCAGCCCACCAGGCTCCTCTGTCCCTGGGATTCTCCAGGCAAGAACACTGGAGTGGGTTGCCATTTCCTTCTCCCAACTGAAGACTGGTGAGCCCTCAATCTATGCTCAGCCCTAAGCAAGGCAGTGTTAAGAGTACAAAGACATTTGAGTCATGCTGCCTTTCTGCTATCCTAGTTTCCAACATAAGACATCACACAAAGCAAGAGCCAACAATCCAAAACATATGGAATCATGTACTCATTTGTGAGGCCCAGGTCACAAACAACCCTTTCCAGGGGAGAGAAAGCATAGTGAGGATCAGCGTGGGAGAGAGGGCTCCTGGATAGAGTGACATTAGAGTTAGGTCTAAAAGCGCAGCTACAGGCGAAAGGAGTCTATTCTAGGTGGGAGAGAAACTTGCTAACAAATGCAGAATGCTGAGGAATGGGCCACTAGCACATCTGGCAGTTAGAAATGTGGTCCATTTCTAGCAGAGGCGTAGATGGGCAGAATGGGGAGGACTTGTGGGATAAAGATTGGAGAAGTTGGGCCTCTCAATGAAGGATTTAACTGCATTTAACTGATTTCAATCACTGAAATTGTTTCTTTTTTTTTTTTTTAAGTAGACATACATATACATGGTGGGCTTCCCTTGTGGCTCAGTTGGTAAAGAATCCATCTTCAATGTGGGAGACCTCGGTTCGATTCCTGGGTTGGGAAGATCCCTGGAGAAGGGAAAGGCTACCCACTCCAGTATTCTGGCCTGGAGAATTCCACAGACTGTATAGTCCATGGGGTCTCAAAGAGTCAGCATAACTGAGCGACTTTCACACTTCACATATACATGGTACAAAATTCAACAGGCAGAATAAGGTATGTAGAAAATATGTTTTCTTCTCAACCTCTTATCTCCCATTTTTCTTCCCTTGAGACAGTCATTTCTATCAGATTCCTGTGTATCTTTCTTAACTAGTCTAATATAGCCCAGACCAAATGGATTTGTATGTATTTCTCCAAAAACAGTAGTATAGACAGTTTTCTCTCTTATTTAATTTGATAATTAAATATATCTTGTTCATGTCACTTTTTTAAATGGCTGTCATGTCTTCCTTGATATGACTATAACACAATTCACCTTCAGTTCTCTATTCACGGATATTTACTTATGTACAGTTTTCTGCACTGAATAAAAATCTCATATATATAAATCCTTGTATACACATACGGGTATATATGTAAGAAAAATTCCTACAAGTGAACTGATATCTTAACAATATTGTCTTTCAATTCACAGATATGGTACATCTCTCCATTTTTTTAGGGTATTTTTATTTTCTCCTAGAAATTTTTTATAGTTTCTTTGTACAAGTCTTGTACATATTTTGTGAATTTATCCCTATGTCAAATCTATGATGTTATTAAAAGTGATATTGTTTTTTATTTCAATTTCTAATGTTTGTTGCTTATATATAGAAATAGAAATTGAATATTTATCTCCTATGTTGCAATCTTGCTAAATTCACTTATTAGTTGTAGTAGCTATGTTTTGTAAATTCTTTAATATTTTCCAAATTGATAATAATATTGACAATTCTACATCTTTTCCAACCTGAATGCCTTTTATTTCTCCATTACTGCATTGACTAGAACATTCAGTATAACGCTGACAAGAAGTGGTGAGAGCAGACATATTTGCCTTGTTACCAATCTTAGAGGGAAAACATTCTCTTTTTTTGCTCCTTAAACTTGATAATTTCAAATCTCCTATCTTTAAGTCTGCTGTTCCTTTCTTCTGCCTGCATAAATCTGCTGTTAAATCCCTCTAGGGAATCTTTCCATCCACTTACTGTATTTTTTAGCTCTAAAATTTCTAGGTTCTTTTTACTTCTCTTTGTTGATATCCTCATTTTGTTCCTATATTTCTTATTTCCTTTAGTTCTTTACCTGTGTTTTCATTTAGTTTCCTTCAGCATATTTCAGAGAGCTGTTTTAATGTCTTTATTTAGTAAATCTAATTAATGCCTGTGCTTCTTCAGGGATAGTTTGTGACAGTTTATTTTCTTCCTTTAAATAGGCCATGATCTGTTTATCGGTATCCTTTGTGACTTCTTTGTTGAAGGTTGGGCATTTGTAAAAATAGTTACCTCTCTCAGTCATCACAGACTGGCTCTATGCTGGGGTAGTACTCTAATTAGCTGGGCATGTACTCTAATTAGCTGGGCATAGCTAATTAGCCTAGTGATCAGCTCAACGGAAAAGTTTAAGGTCTTCTCAGGTCTCTTCTAAACAGGTGTCTTGGCTGGACCTATTTATGGCTACTTTTGAGTGACTCAAGTCTCCCAAAGAATCTCACTTTAGCTTCTTCTTTGGGCCTTCAATGGTCTACTTTATGTCTCTGTCCATAATCTCTTACCCAGGGGGTCTGTAGTCCCCTTATAGCTTTCATGAGCAGTATCCACCATTTCTCTCTGTCTAAGATCTGAATTAGGGGATATAGAGCCCAATCCTTAGACAGCCCTAAGATGGTCAGAACATTCAAATAAGGACCGCTCAGCTCAAGTCAGACATGACTTAGTGAATGAACAACTGCTCCCTTTGTTTCAAGGGAGGGAACTGTGTATCGGGCTATCACCTCCTCTACACCAAAACTACACTACACTGAGAAATGTCTAAGATCTGAATTAGGGGATATAGAGCCCAATCCTTAGACAGCCCTAAGATGGTCAGAACATTCAAATAAGGACCGCTCAGCTCAAGTCAGACATGACTTAGTGAATGAACATCTGCTCCCTTTGTTTCAAGGGAGGGAACTGTGTATCAGGCTATCACCTCCTCTACACCAAAACTACACTACACTGAGAAGGGGAGCGGGGCAGAAAGTACAAACGTCATGAAATATTTTACTGTTTTGAATGTGACTTTTCTTGACTGAATATTTGCTTGGTTGTTATAGCCTTTTGACAATTTTCCATAGTTTTTATAAGGCTTTTATACTAGTTTCTGGTAGTTTCTTGGTGTTCCCATGGGAGAACAAGGCCTTAGAGATTCCCAGTCCACCACTTTTCTCTATAAATATTCTTGAGCTTTGTTTTGAAATTCAGTTAAGTTACTTGGAAACAGTTTCATTCTTTCAGGTAATCCTCACAAGCCTCATTAGTCATCAACATTTAGTCCAGGATTTTTACTTACTACTGAGGTAAGGCCTTTCTTGGTACTCTACCCAATGCCCTAGTTATTACAAAGTTCTCTATTTTAACTGTTGAAATAGGCTCTCCATCTGTCTCTGTGTGTGACCTCTGAGTACTATGCCCTTATATTTCATCAGGTGTCTTTTTTAAGCCTTCCTCTAGTACTTTTCTCAGATGCATATTCTGACCAATCCTCGGCTGCACATTTGAGGTGGGGCTTCTTCATATCCCAAGAGTTCTCTCTATACTTAGCCCTCTCTTCTCAGATAATCTGCACTGTGAATTCTAGCTGCTTTGGCTTCCTTTGACTCCCAGTCCACACTCTAAACTCACAGACTGAAGTATGGATCACTATTTCTGGGCCATTCTGCAGCTATACAGAAAAGCAGCATTGGAAATATATATCAGTTCACTTCAGTTCAGTTCCACAGTCATGTCCAACTCTGCAACCCATGGATTGCAGCACATCACACAGCCCTGTCCACCACCAACTCCTGGAACTTGCTCAAACTCACTGAGTCAGTGATGCCATCCAACCATCTCATCCTCTGTCATCCCCTTCTCCTCCTGCCTTCAACCTTTCACAACATCAGGGTCTTTTCCAGTGAGTTAGTTCTTCGCATCAGGTGGCCAAAGTATTGGAGTTTCAGCTTCAGCATCAGTGCTTCCAATGAATATTCAGGACAGATTTCCTTTAGGATTGACTGGTTGGATCTCCTTGCAGTTCAAGGGACTCTTAAGAGTCTTCTCCAACACCACAGTTCACTTAGTTTTCGATTCAGTGTTACATGGTTGTAGTAGTCTTCAAGTTGTCAGTGTCTTTCTTCTTCAGCCCATTTTGATGCATCTTATCTTTCTAGAAAGCTGTTCATTTCTTAGTTTTCATATTTATGAGAATACGTTTCTCTTTATCACTTTCATCAGAAGTTTTTAAATATTAGTCTTAAAAAACATTTTTTCTTTGGACTTTTACATTTTGATTGCTATTTCATGAATTTTTGTTATTATTTCTTATTTTTATATTCTCATGATATGTTTTGATCTTTTTCTTTCTTTTGATAAAAGTGGATTATAAATTCCTATTGATTTTAAATCTTTATTAATTTCTTTTCTAGGTTAACGTTTGAAATATACTTTTAACTTTATTTTTATCTCAATATATCTCATAAGCTCAATTCTATAAGTATTTCTGTATGACTTACATGTCAATCTTTTTGTTTCTTAGTATTATTTACCTTTGATTCAGGATTTATTTCGATTTGTATTCTTAAATTTTGGCTTAATGGAAAGTTCTGCTGCTGCTGCTGCTGCTAAGTCGCTTCGGTTGTGTCCAACTCTGTGTGACCCCATAGACGGCAGCCCACCAGGCTCCCCCATCCCAGGATTCTCCAGGCAAAAATACTGGAGTGGG